ACATTTCCCTGAAACCAAGCTCTGTACTTGGTTGTTTTTAAAAAAGGAGCAAACAACTAGAATAATTTAGATCAGGAAAGTAATTTATTATGCATAACCAGTTTGGATAATGAAAGAAAGTAATTAAAATGGATGAATAAAGAGCTACAGCTAAACTTTTTTGTGTTGAAAATCAGTGAGTTGGCTCTAGTAGGCAGTAATTCCTCATTGTAATTTGCCAGTACTTTATCTTTGAAACAATGAAAACCAGTAAACACTAAATTTCAATCAATCTTTTAGATACTTATTTTGGTGTGGAAAATGTTTTTTAATTGTACCAAGATTAATTACGAAGATTTTTTCATACAACGATATGATCTTAATTTGCAGTCTTCATGGCTAATGTTTATTCTGTTTAAGTTTTTACACATTTTACTTGAATGTTAATAATATTGATCCATACTTAGAAATTTTAAGGAAAGCATTGTACACATATACATTGCTAATATACTTAATCTGTGTATTCATGATATGCTTTTAAAGTGAATGGAATAAATTCCTCTAAAAATTTTGCTTTTCTAATATTCTGTTCTGTAACATCAAACAATTTATTACTGATCTCCATTCTTAAACCATTTCCTGCTTTTTTTTTCTTTATCCTCACTGGAGGATATTTTTCCCATTGATTTTTTTTTTTTTTTTGAGAGAGTGGAGGAGAGAAACATTGATGTGAGAGACACATCGATTGGTTGCCTCCTGTTTGCACCCTGACCGGGGCGGAGATGGAGCCTGCAACTGAGGTATGTGCCCTTGACCAAGAATCGAACCTGAGACCCTTTGGTCTGAGGGCCGATGCACTAATCACTGAGCAAAACTGGCCAGGGCTCTTGCTTTTTATTTACTATAAAACAATGAGATGATGAATTAAGTAAACCTTGTTCTGGATGTTAAATAATTTTTTGTAGTTGTTCTCCTTCACTTTGAGAACTAAAATGTAGCTTTTTATTTTTTGCAATTGAAGCAGTTGAAGATATCTTTTTTCTTTGTTGTTACAGTTGAGTTCTTTCATGCAAAGCTTTATGAAATTTATTTTCATTATATAGGGAAGATACTTGTAACATAGAGATGTTGAGAAGATTATGTGAGATACTTCCAGAATATTTGGAACAATGCCTGGCAAAGAGTGCATACTTAACTAATATCAGCTCTTATTAGAAATATTATGGGTAGTATTGGGATTATTTAAAATAACTTTATTTTTGCCCGACTGGCGTGGCTCAGTGGTTGAGCATCTTGACCTATGAACCAGGAGGTTACAGTTCAATTTTCGGTCAGGGCACAGGCCCGGTCTGTGGGCTCAATCCCCATTGGGGGGCCTGCAAAAGGCAGCCAATCAATGATTCTCATCATTGGTGTTCTATCTCTGCCTCCCTTCCTCTCTGAAATCAATAAAAATATTAAAAAATAAAGTAACTTTATTTTTGCTTATTTTTAAGTGATTTGTGAGCCCTATTTGATATTTACCTAATATTTAATGAGCAGTTTCTGGGTGCCAGGCATTGTTAGATGTCCTCATGTACATTATCTTGGCTAACTGTACACATCATTTTCCATTTTGATGATGAGGGTATTAGGCTCTGAATGGTTAAGTCATTTAGCTACAGTGGCATAATAGGAGGTAGGCTTTCTAGCATCACCTACCAAAACATGTCATCTGACAGTGACATGTAAAAGTCTTCTAAATAAAAGTTATGATCACTCAACTGATTGATGTTAATATTGGACACTTTTTTATTTGCAGAGCTGTAAGATAGGGGTTATGGAGATTAAAAATCGAAGTTGGTACACTGTCTTACATGTTGGAGATAGCTAGAATATAAGGCAGAAAGTGATACTATTAGAAATTACACACATTTAGAGGAGGGAGATGTTATTTACATTCAGGGAAGGAGTTCAATCAGGGTTGTTTTCTTGAAAATGTGGTTAACATTTTAAGTGGTTTAGGAGTAGTGGGATTTGGATATATATATATAACTGGTGGAATTAGGATACCTCAGTAGAGGAAACAGTAAAGAAAACATGAGATACGTACAGAAAATAGTCAATAGTTTTGGATACAGTGTATAGCATGTGAGTGGGTATAGGAGAAATTTAAATCGGAAAGGTAAATTAGGGCCAAAATGTGTAGGGCCTTGAAAACTTGACTTTTTTGAATTCAGACATGTATTAGTTTAGTAAATTATTTAGCCACTATAGTGGCCAGTTATATATGGTTTTGGGGGAAATAAAGTTGAATGAGAAATTTAGACCATAATGATGTTTGATTAACAAGGGAGGTGCTGGGCATGTAGAATGTGGAAAGAATACTTTTTTTTTTAGGTATAAGGAGATGAAATTTCCAATCCTGGCCCTGTAATTAAGTAGTTATAAAATCTTGGGAAGGTTCTTTTAACTTCTGGGGGCAGTAAGGTCTGAGTATGTAAAATGAAGGTTTGTATAAAACAGCGGTTCTCAACCTGTGGGTCGCGACCCCTTTTGCGGTCGAACGACCCTTTCACAGGGGTCGCCTAAGACCATCCTGCATATTAGATATTTACATTACGATTCATAACAGTAACAAAGTTACAGTTATGAAGTAGCAACGAAAATAATTTTATGGTTGGGGTCACAACATGAGGAACTGTTTTAAAGGGCCAGAAGGTTGAGAACCACTGGTATAAAAGATCATTAAGGCGCATAATAAGTATATGGGAACTGTGTCATTTTTTGTCCAAACTAGAATTGAAATGGAAAGGAGGCACTATTAATAATTAAGCTCAGTAGCAACTAAATTATACTCTTGCTTCTTATCTTGTTATTATGAGTCTACTTTCATCTGTTATATTTTCAAAACTCAAAATTCTGAAAAGGAGGAAAAAGGACTACAACATCAGTCATAAATGTTTAATGTTGTTGAACAAGGTAAAGGTAGTATAATCTAATGAAATAGAATCACATTAAAGTATTTTGATGTTGTGAATGGTAATGATTAAAAATGTTCGTGTAAACATAGAATTATTTTGAAAAAGATATATTGTTCAAAATAAACTGTTTTCATAGGTAAAGCTAAAAATAGGTACTTATCACTATAAACATTCTAGAGGCCCTGTACATTGATTTGTGCACATTGAAAGGAAATTAATTAGAAGAAATATTTTAGAGGCCAGGGAGGGACTGCGGGAAGTTGGCTCCAGGGCGTGTCTGGCCCATCTCTCCCAGTCCCCATTGGGGTTATCAGAACCGGGGAGGGACCGTGGGAGGGTCCAGGGCATGTCTGGCCATCTCACCCAGTCCTGATCAGCCGGATCCCAGAGGCAAGCTAACCTACCAGTCAGAGTGTCTTCCCCCTGGTGGTCAGTGCACGTCATAGTGACTGGTTGAACGGTCCGACACTTAGCATATTAGGCTTTTATTATATAGGATACCTTCCTTTGACATTTGGGGGATGAAATGAGATACTTTATTTAGGGATGTTTTCCAGACAAAATTATTTCTTTAAATAGCTTTAGGGACTGCAGTATTTAGGGTAGTTTATTCTGTAATAGTTGGGTCTACCAGACTGCTGTGCTTGTTGTTTTAAATAGTCTTATAGTTTTTTGAATCTTTTCTTGATGTTCTGCTCACTGTTTTGAATATTCTTGCTTATATAATGGTTTAATGCAATTATATATAGAGAGACCTCTTTTCCCAACTCCTTTGTGTAAGTATAACAAAGAACTGTACTTAAGAGGACCTCAACATTGTGAGGGCTTTTGTAGCAAATTTGATATTGAACCATTTTCCCATGTTTTCTCGTTTAATTAGTGATTCTCAGACATTTAATGTGCAATGTGCATTCATATCACCTGGACTTCTTGTTAAAAGGCAGAGTCTGATTTAATAGGTCTAAGATTGGCCAGAAATTCTGCTTTTCTAACAAGTGCCTGATTGATGTGGATGCTGCTGTTCTGTAGACTACACTCAGTATCAATGTTCTAAGTGTTTTATTGGAATTCTGGCAGTCTTATGATATAGGGCAGTGATGGCGAACCTTTTGAGCTCGGCATGTCAGCATTTTGAAAAACCCTAACTTAACTCTGGTGCCGTGTCACATATAGAAATTTTTTGATATTTGCAACCATAGTAAAACAAAGACTTATATTTTTGATATTTATTTTATATATTTAAATCCCATTTAACAAAGAAAAATCAACCAAAAAAATGAGTTTGCGTGTCACCTCTGACACGCATGTCATAGGTTCGCCATCACTGATATAGGGCATTAAATATGGCTGGATTTTTTTTTCAGAAATTATATCAATAGTTGTTTTAAAAAGAAAACTTAGGACTTGTAAATTTAATAATACAATTGATTGAAATAATAATTGTCTTTTGTATTCACATTTACCTCTGTCATATGTTTACCAGTGTCTTAACTCAAGTTTTGCTTCTTTCTCATTTCTTTTTTGTTGTGGTGTTTTGCTTTTGTTTAATGTATTATTGTGTTTTGTGGATCTGGTCAGGGAACCTTTACTGTATTTTATGTTTGTATCTACATTTTATTTTGCATGCGTAACGTGGCTTTGCCTGGATGTTCTTTTTGGTAAGTCACAAATTTATAACATTGTTTTTTGTAGTGTAAGTTATAATGTTTTTCACCTTCTTTTCTTCTACTTCTAGTAATGTGATCATGCTCATGAGTTGTTTTTAATTTTTTAAAAAGTTTATTTGAAAATTATTTTTTCCTAATACTTTCCAATTTAGTAGTTCAGTTTGGTACTAATCTGCTTTGGTTTGTTTTATAGCCTCACACTGTCAGTTGCTGATCACTATAGGCAGTTGCTGTCTCAAGTATTTTGGCTTTTAAAAAAAATGTTAATCATCTAGAAATACTGTTCTAAAAGCTTGTGTTTTCATATAGCAATCATAAAAGAAGATAGTTTGTAGTAAAGTTAAATATTTTTGTTCTCAGTGAACAGTACATTTTGATTTTGTGTTTACAGCAACAGCTTGCACAGCTACAGAAAGAAAAATCAGAGATTCTGAAAAATCTGGCATTATATTACTTCACATTTGTAGATGTTATGGAATTTAAGGTATGTATTTTAGTACATAAAATTTAACATTTCTGAGGTTGATTTGATATTTGTTAACTTTGCAAATTGCTTTGTCATTTGTAGATAATAAAATTAGAATTCTTGTAGAACTAAATTCTAAAATACATTTTATTTGTGTGTGTTTTCTGAATTTATTATTATATATATAGGTAAAGATTAAAATAAACTTTTATTTTCAGGACCATGTTTGTGAATTGCTCAATACTATTGATGTTTGCCAGGTCTTCTTCGATATTGTAAGTATTATTTTCAGAAAAATTCCCAGTTCTATTTCTAGTAGAACTAAGGGGACCGAATGCTTTTCTTTAGAGAACATTTATGACGTGTATATTAAGTTTTAGCATTGTTAATTTGGATTGTTTTGCACTGTTTTTCAAGGCAAAGAGTTAAGATGCATTCTCTTTTTACCTTGTTTATTTGATTCACTGAATATAAGTCTTGTGCATATTGGATGGTAGTTGTTAATTTTAGTATTTTATTTTAGTAGGTCCAATTAAGCAATGTTAAGTGGATAATATTTTTCTCTGTAAAAGGCATACTTGATAGAATCTTTCTCAGTGAGATGGTTTATAAATATAGGAAGTCAAAGTGAAAAATGTCTCCATTGACTTAGTGGCAAATTTTTTCATTTACTTAATACTCCTTTTTTTTTTGCTTAGTGAGACTGGTTCCAGTGTTTCATATTATTTTGGTATTGGTTATCCTTTTAAACTGTTACTAGTTTGAATAGGGTGATAATGAACTCTTTTTCATCCATAAAATTGTGTCACAAACACAAAACTCTATTTGTAACTCCCAAATTTTACATGTCTTTGGTGAAATGAATTAGAATTTCAGAAATGGGAATAAAATAAATAACTATAGAAAACTATTAGCTTTCAGTAGCTGCCATGAAGATTGCTGTGTGTGTGTATGTGTGTTTAAAAGTTTGTAAAATAGGAAGGAGTTAAACTTGATGTTTTTTTCCCCCAGACTGTAAACTTTGATTTAACAAAGAACTACTTAGATTTGATCATAACCTATACAACACTAATGATACTGCTCTCTCGAATTGAAGAAAGGAAGGCAATCATTGGATTGTACAACTACGCTCATGAAATGACCCATGGAGCAAGGTAGACCTGCATCATAAAAATCTTTGTGAAATTCTCAATTTCATGGTTTACAGCTCAGTGAAATTTGATGTGTCTATTTTAAGTGACCGAGAATATCCACGCCTTGGTCAGATGATTGTGGATTATGAAAACCCTTTAAAGAAGATGATGGAAGAATTTGTACCCCATAGTAAGGTAAGAGCTGGTTTTTAGATGGCCTTTAATTGGCATGTGATATAGGTTAAATGTGGATAGTTAGATAAAATGATGAACTTTTAGGAAAAAACCTATAATGAGATACAGTGGGGCCTTGACTTATGAGTGTCTCGACTAACGAGTTTTTTGAGATATGAGCCGTCTCTCGGCCGATTTTTTGCTTTGAGTTGCGAGCTAAAATTCGGGTTACGAGCCAGCTTCAGATACCCCACAGCTAGTTGGCGCAGCGAACGTCACAGTGAACGCCACAACATCAGCCCAGCATCACATGTCTCACTCGTTCACTTTTTGATTTGACATATGAGTAATTTGAGTTACGAGCTCCATCACGGAATGAATTAAACTCGTAAGTCAAGGCCCCACTGTATGAATAATAGCCATACATGTTTTATTTAATTGATAAACTTTCAGGAAAAATTATAATGAAATATGAATAATAGCTATGCATGATTTTATCTAATTGTGAACCAGAGAACTAGTTAGATTTTGAATAGTATATAGAAACTCAGGAATATATTGATCCATTATATTTTTAGACTTAATATAGGCTGTAGAGGTAGTGAAGTATAGTATTTGAGAATGTCTCCTATCGTACCAGACTGCTTGGGTGCTAATCCCAACTCTGCCAATTACTAACTGCAATATTGGGCAAGTTACTTAACCAACTTCACTATACATCAGTTTTCTTATCTGTAAAATGGAGTAATAATAGTACCTACTTCATATGATTATTATGAAGATTAAATTGGTTGCTTCATTAAAAGCATTTATATATATAGTACTTGATAAATTTTAGCTATCCTATATAATAAAAGCCTCATATGCAAATCGACCGAACAGTGGAACCACTGGTGGAACAACTGGTTGCTATGACGTGCACTGACCATCAGGGGGCAGACGCTCAATGTAGGAGCTGCCTGCAGGCCCCAGGCCAGAGGGAGGTGACCAGTGGTGGTGGCAGGAGGTGGGGGCCAGCCGGGAGTAGGTGGCGGCAGGGGGTG